CTTCGATCTATTTATATAAGTGCTTTGTATATATTCAATAGAGACAAAAATGTAGAAAATTATCAAAGATTAATTACGTCTTAAAGGCAGTACAAACATTTAGAGAAGAAGTGAATACGGAAATATAAACGTCAAGGGGATGTTATGATAGACGCATTGCGTAAAAATGATCAAAAGAAGAAATATTATAAACTGTTTCAAAAGAAGCGAGCCAAAACTTGTGATGTGTCACTTTCAGAATTTTTCGAGCATTTTAGAAACTTAGGTGTTGTTGATGAGACATATGATAACATTGATCGTATTATTACACGCAATGAAATTCTGAAGTGTATTTCTAACCTTACACGTGGTAAAAGTCATGGTACTGATGATACATTTAACGAGTTACTCATTGAATAAAAGGATATTCTGCTACTGTTTCTACACGAAATATTTAATAGGATATTAGCGTGATGACATTTTCCGAAATCTTGGAGGCTCGAAGTAATTAGTCATGTTTTTGAAGAAGGTGATTCATCAGATCCAGCGAACTATCGTGGAATCAGTTTGGTTAGTAATTTGGCGAAAGTCTTTACATCTATAATAAATTCAAGGCTATCAGTATAGTTTGAGAATAATGACGTTATCACCGATGTGCAGTTTGGATTTCGTTCTGGTAGCAGCACTGTTGATGCAATTTATTGTTTGTAGACACTTGTCCAGAAGGCACTTTTTGATAAAAACAAAACAAAGTTTATATTTACAAGCAGGCATTTGACTCCGTATCCAGACTTAACTTATGGTTGAAATTGTCAAGAAATGGCACAACAGGCAAAATGCTGTCTGTTTTAAAATCAACGTATTGCACAGTTAGAGACTGTGTGAAAATTTATGTTTTTCTTTTTATTCAGAGCAGTTTACAAGTTCAGTTAGTCTTATGCAAGAAGAAGAAATCTGGTATTATGATCAAAATACTATTGACATATTTGAAAATTTAGTTACCTTAGTGTACTGTTAAGTTTTACCAGTAAATTTAATGCCTGTACCAAGTCAGGAATATGACAGTCGTTTTCCATTTGTTTGAGGTGTTTGAGCTTTTGATTTTGCCATTTGATAAGGGACTTTTCGTTTTGAATTTTCCTTGAAGTTCGCGGTATGTTTGTTATTCTACGTATTACTAAAGCTCAGAGACATTTAGCTGAGCAAGGTAGAAAAGCTGTATTTGGTTAAAAGTCAAAGGTTTCATCATTGTTTTTTAATGCTTTTACATATTTGAATTTGTTTGATACTTATATAAGTAGTATATTATGTTATTGTTGTGAAATATGGGCTTCCATACAGCTCCAAATATTGAAAAAAATACAACCAGATTTAAAATATATTAGGTGTTCAACAAATGTTATGGTCTATTATGAATTGGATCGATATCCTCTGATATATTAGATTAGATAATTTTTTTTATTAACCAATCATTGTGCCTAAAATTTGAGCTATACAATAAAATGAATTGTTACAAAATAAAGCAAAGTAAATGATTAGAATAATTAAAGTATATTTAAACAAAACATTATACACATTTAAACAAAGTAACATATAAACAATGTCATTGACAAACATTAAGATATATGGTAGAATGTATAAAATAGTGAAGTACGGGTTTAAATTGTTATATACAAGCAACTATATTCTTAAAAACTGCTATAGGGAACAACTGTATAATTTTTGTAATAATAGGAGCAGTTGGATTTATCAACTTCAACAATTATTATTTAACTTAGGTTTAAATAAGATTTGGTACAACCAAGACAATTTAATTATTGATTGTAAAACAAGAATATATGATCAAGGACTCATCTTAGTGTTATTTATATAAATATATTGTCAATAATGTAAGTTTACAGAATTATCTCACTAAACATGAATTTCAGAGTGTATTTAATTCGTCTGAGATTGTCTTCACATAATTTGTTCGTTGAAGTAGGACGTTATCATGGAGGAATAAGGTTAGGCAGAAAATGAGCTCATTTTACTTTGAATACCATCGAAGATGAATTCCATTTTGTATTACAATGTGAATGCTGTTTAAGGAGGCTGTTCATTAAACCTTATAATTATAGGCGTACATTGTCGTTGAAATAAGTTCAACTTCTAAGCACTGAAAATGTCAAAGATTTGAGTAGTTTGTGTAAATTCTTATTTAATGCACTTAATCATAGGACTGATCTGTTAGTGAACAATAGTTGATGTTTATATGCTTGTCTGATGTATTATGTCATTTTATGGTGTAAATATGTTTTGTATATATTCTTGTACTGATAAGCATAATGTGCTTAAAGTAATGAAGAAATGAATTGAATTGAAGAGGCATCGGATTTAATGTCCCCATTTTGACCAGACGTGGCTTCGAATTCATACATCCCACACAACCAAAAGGACGCCCCACTTTGGGAAGTGTTTTACTGCAGGTCGGAAGAAGACCAAAGGCAACCATATTATTTTAGCCCAGTCAACCTTAAGGTTCATTTTTTTTAATATCAAATTTCATACCGGTTAACCGGTTAATCAATCGAAAGATTATCCGAGTAACCGGTAAGGTAATACTGTTCAATTTGACGATACTAATCTTAATATAAAGAACAATAAAGCTACATCGGATGGTAATTAAAGGGTAAAATAATGTAGACATAGTACTTTTTTTCGTTTAAACAACGAAATATGTAATATATTGCTATCATTTATTAAAGTTGCCAAAGCTTATGCATCTGGACCAAATACAGCTGAATTTAAATTATGACCTGCGAAGATCATAAATGTCCTATTGCAGTTCAACTCGTGCATACAAAATAACACCGTCTACTATACTAACATTGCATGGAATTTCATAAAAAAAAAACGATGAGATTAGGCCACACCAATTTGGTTAATAGTTCTTTGGATTTGCCCGCTCCTGGTTTTGAGAAATTGACTTTTTTAAAAAGAAAATAATTACCGCTTCCGCCAATTTTTGGGCCGCATGCCGCTCCAAAATTAGTTTATCCTTGAAATTTTTTTCTCTAAGAAGTTTTTCTTGTGCACATATTGCTCCGATCGATCCAAACGCACGTGTGATAAATCGATTTGTAAATATAAAGGTCAAAATCGGGATGCCAACATGAAGTTGTGTCAGATCATTGCCGAGGACAAGAAGTTACTAAACACACAGTTATTCGAAATGCATTTCGTTTTACATATGAAGACCTGTTCTAGGAGACAAAAATAAAAAAAATCGTTAGATGACAACGATCACATCAGTTCTTGTTAGAACCATTCTCATCCCCGATCATTGACATTGTTTCAACAGACATAGAATGTCATAGTCCGAGATTACTCTGACGTCCAACGGCTATTTTGCCAGACATAAGGGGGCGCTGTTGTCCCACGGCCCCAGCTTACCTGGCAAAACAGCCGTTGGACGTCAGAGTAATCTCGGACTACAACAGACATAGATAGAGCTATCTGTCTTAGATGAAATTAATATTAAATTCACATGAATTCAAAAAAAAAATGACAGATGAAAACCCCATATCCCCTTGTTAGTCTATTGACATGCAATCAGAACTCTTTTGTAAGGGAAATTTTAAGAGTTCCAACGTTCGAGACCAAAGTGGTGGTATTGTGATTGCCATGCTAATATATATATAATAATTAGGGATGTGTTATTGGTGCAACTACTTTCAGTTTGAAATACATTGCAGGTTTCAGGGGCAAAAGGAAAAAGTATTTTGCTCAGTCAGAATAATGCATGTGAATGTGGTTAAAGGTATTATAAGGGAATGTTTTAATACATTGAGATCTACATGCATAGCAATATAACTATCTTACTCAGGTTGTTGTTGAAATATTCAGCTCACTCATTATGTTGATCCTATTATGGATAAAAAGTTCCAACTGGATGTCAAGCAGCCAATAAACAATCATTACCATATAATGAAAACAACTATATCAAAAGCTATTTAATATTTTTCAAGGGCATTTTTTGGAATACATACACATATTTTAATTGTATTCAACACATTTCATTTACCTAACTAACATAATTCCTCTTGTTAAACTGCATCTGCTATGCTTCCTTAATATATACACATGTATGAATTTAAATGAAAACTCACACAGTCAAAGGTTATTTGACGAAAATAATCAAAATTATACTTAACCAAAGCGAACCAGAAAGTTGGGTATGGTACAGACTGTACTACAGGCACAAATACATCATATTATATTCATCTGAGCATGTTTCTCCTCCTTTTTCTTTGAAGTAATTTAGTCGTAATATGTACATAAAATTCTAAATCGCACAATTAAAAAAAAATTATACCGCTCGCTCCACTTGTAGAGCACCCGCATCAACAAAACTCATTTTCAAGAAATAAATACAATAAAAAAAATTTGCTCGCTCGCCCCATATTTTTTGGAGCTTTTCTCCGAAGAACTAAAAATCAAATTGGTGTGGCCTTAGTTGAACAATGGTTTGTGAAATATATATTATTCTAAGTAACAAAATTATAATTCCAAACTATGTTAAAAAGTTGTAAACAAAGTCTTAATCCAAAGTATAATTCACAAAGGAGACATTGAAGATGAAATGAAAAGATGTACGTTCTAGAAAAACGGACATGAGCAATCAGTACCCTTAAAAACTAAAACATTCGGAACTGCCAATTTACATTAAAAATGGGAGGTATATCAGGCGTTCTGGAAGTTTAATGATAACGTAAAGACCTACTATAATTGACGGAAAATACCAAAACGAGATCATTCTAGATACATAATGTCACAATATAAAAACTAGGAAGCAAATAAATGCCCCTAAAAAGCAATAAAGAACAGCATTTTTCAAGTATAAATAAGATGGAGTTTTGTGGTAATAAAAAAATAATAAAATATCAATACAATAATATTATTTTTTTAAAGCACATCTTTGTGTAAGCAATCTTTTACACACATGTTGTGCCAGTGTTTAAATATAAAGAAAGAAAGCTTACCTTAGCTATGTCTGGTGTTATTAAAACGCAATGCCTGATTATTTCCCTCAACAGTCTTTAAAGATTCAAATATTGACGCTAACACGCAGAGGGAGAATTTTTTTTCTCTAGAAATGTTTGTATAATTAGTGCAATTTCTAATGCATCTAATTGATAACGTCATTAGATGAAACCGTCGCAATTAATAACTTTTAAAAATGCATGTTGAATGCTATTTACCTCTAATACTTGTTATGCACGTTATTTGCATTTAACTTTTTCCGTTTGAAGGCTATGTATGGTATGCTATAAATTGATATAAATTGCGGAACTTGGAACATATCAAATAGAAGCGTTTTAAATCTTTTAACATTTTTCGGAAATCACTCGATATTATACACTGGAATGAAAGGCCATTAACTCCTTGTGTTATTTCGAACACTAACGATGTATTTACAAATTAAAAATGATTGACAGTTTGCTTCAGCAAATGGTTTCATTTTATTTTCTATATGGTATATTTCAAAATGTTCCTTTCATATCAAAATCAAACAGAAACGCAGCTTTAGTGAAAGAGCAAAATCAAACAGAAACGCAGCTTTAAGTGAAAGAGAAGAAAAAAGTAAAATCACAAAAATACTGAACTCCGAGGAAAATTCTAAAAAGGAAAGTCCCAAATCAAATGGCAAAATAAAAAGTTCAAACACATCAAACTAATGATTAACAACTGTCATATTACTGACTTGGTACAGGCATTTTCTAATATAGAAAATGGTGGATTGAACCTGGTTTTATAGCTAGCTTAACCTCTCATTTGTATGACAGTCGCATCAAATTCCATTATATTGACAACGATGCGTGAACAAAACAAACAGACACAGAAACTTTTCATTGATCCGGATGAACGCCATGTAAAGCCGGGAAAGACTCGGGAGCCTCAGCTTTGTAAATATCTCTTCACCACTTATGGCTCCTATCTCTTTGCCCAAATTCCTAAATGTTTGCGTCGTTCTAATACTTTTCCTTTGTTTACTGAACAACCCAAACCGTTTAATATTAAAGAAATATGATACAGGAGTTGTGAAAAATTCACAAGAGAAATAAAAGGATACAAATTTACAAATGAAAAAAATATAAACAGAGAATGGGTCACGTTTTAACATTTTATCTATAGTCATTTGGTGTGACACGATTCCGCTACTGCATGTGACACGATTCCGCTACTGCATGTGACACGATTCCATATTTACCGCGGGATACACGTCAAATGATCAATTATAACAATAATAATTTTCTTCAATAATCAATCTTTTTTTCAAAACAAGAAGTATAACAAAGAAAATGTATGAGCTTATATTTACTGAACATTATTCTATATACCTATTGTTAATCTTATTATGTCCTTTGTCTGTTTGCTTCTTTGTCAGAAAGAATGAATGTAGAAACATCAATGTGATGATATCATTAAAGGTTGGTTTAATTGTTTAAAAACTATAATGAAATAGAAATGGACAATAGCTTTAAATATTGTTGTGTCTCTAGTTATCTGATTATGATAAATTGTCTTGCTTTCAACCTTCTTGATTTGAATGTATGACTTTTTTCAATAATCAAACAGGAGTGTCTGCGATATTTACTAGAAAAGTATAGCGTAAAGGAAATAATACGTTTTTTTTTTGTCTTAAACTCTCTTTAAAAAAACTTGTTACGCCGGATTATCTTAATACGCAATATTACACTTTAGAAATGAATCCATTCATCAAACGTTCTATACATTTTGTTATGTAGAGTGTATGATTCTCATAGGGGAAAGATGAGAATGTACATCTTTCAAATTATAAAAGATGTTTTACTGGACAATCTATGACTACCCACTAACGGAAGTAACATTATATCTGCAAACATTGTTTTAATTTAAAGCTTGTTATTAACTTAAATACTAGGCTGTTTGGAGGTATCCTTTTTCATTACTGAAAATAGTTTTGTTTATAAAAATTGAAACTATCTTATGGACTATTTCAAGATTATGTTTTTGAAATAACGGTGAGTGTTAATTTTTGTTGTTATCTGTAGTAAGGGAAACATGAAACAACAACAATATTGGTCCTAACTTCACTTATATAAAACTACATTCTTATCCAAAATGGAAAAATACGACAAGTAGAAACAATAACATAGTATATGTGATTGATAGTGATTCTAGTTACATGCATACAATATTGCATGTAACATATACAGTTGTCAACTTGGTTGTACATATAGGAAATTACTTTAAATCAAAGTTTATAAATTTTGTTAATTTTGAACATTTTATTCCACTGAAATAGTTAACCGTTCATCGTTAATTTATCTCAGCACGTTTACAAGTTGTGTACATTCTGGATCTCTATCCAACGTTGATGAACATTTGTGAATGAATACCAAAGAGACTATCAAAGATCTACGATCGATACTAAATTCTCCAAATCAAAATGACAACAAATATTAAGACTAACAATGACTGAAGAGAATCCTGACTTTTGACAGGTTCATAAATCTGTGGCGTGTTAAACTAGTTTCAAAGATGTTAACATTCCTCATTTTCCATCGCAATCAGCGGAATAATACAATAAAAATCAGTACAGGCAAAAGTACTTAACTCTATAATAATTCAACACATTTCATTTACCTAACTAACATAATTCCTCTTGCTAAACTGCATCTGATATGCTTCCTTGATATATACACATGTATGAATTTAAATGAAAATTCACGCAGTCAAAGCTTATTTGACGAAAATAATCAAAATTATACTAAACCAAAGCGACCCAAAAAGTTGGGTATGGTACAGACTGTACTACAGGCACAAATACATCAACTTAAATTATATGCATAAGAGCATGTTTATCCTCCTTTTTCTTTAAGTAAGCCAGTTTTAACATGTACAAAAATTCTAAATCGCACAATTTAAAAAAAAAATTATACCGCTCGCTCCGCTTGTAGAGCATCCGCCTCAACAAAACTCATTTTCAAGAAATAAATACAATCAAAAAAATTTCGCTCGCTCGCCCCATATTTTTTGGAGCTTCTGTCCGAAGAACTAAAAATCAAATTGGTGTGGCCTTAAGTGAAAGAGAAGAAAAAAGTAAAATCACAAAAATACTGAACTCCGAGGAAAATTCAAAAAGGAAAGTCCCAAATCAAATGGCAAAATCAAAAGTTCAAACACATCAAACGAATGGATAACAACTGTCATATTACTGACTGGGTACAGGCATTTTCTAATATAGAAAATGGTGGATTGAACCTGGTTTTATAGCTAGCTAAACCTCTAACTTGTATGACAGTCGCATCAAATTCCATTATATTGACAACGATGCGTGAACAAAACAAACAGACACAGAAACTTATCATTGATCCGGATGAACGCCATGTAAAGCCTGGAAAGACTCGGGAGCCTCGGCTTTGTAAATATCTCTTCACCACTTATGGCTCCTATCTCTTTGCCCAAATTCCTACATGTTTGAGTCGTTCTATTACTTTTCCTTTGTTTACTGAACAACCCAAACCGTTTAATATTAAAGAAATATGATACAGGAGTTGTGAAAAATTATTAAGACTAACAATGACTGAAGAGAATCCTGACTTTTGACAGGTTCATAAATCTGTGGCGTGTTAAACTAGTTTCAAAGATGTTAACATTCCTCATTTTCCATCGCAATCAGCGGAATAATACAATAAAAATCAGTACAGGCAAAAGTACTTAACTCTATAATATAATAACGACATGAGAGATAATAAAACATACCATACTCACAAGTACAAGCAAAACAATAGTAAACTATTACGTCTCAAATAATGATCAAAGTTACTGAAAACAGCTCTAACCTAAGACCTGTTGATACGAATTCATGCTGATCTATTGCACAGTTTCATCTTGTTATTTCCATAACCATATTCTTATCCTTTTCCCTCTAAGAATGTTTAGCATGTTATGCAATCAAGATGTATTTATTGATCTTTAATCATTAACTATTTGAAAAATAAATACAAGAAAATGAACATATTAGATGATGAAATTAATTTCGGGTTTCTGTTGTTGTTAAGGTATAATTTTTATTTTTATTTGTATTTGCAATTTTTATGGCAGATCGTTATGTCTACCCAATTTCTGGATTAGTTTATGTGATGTTGAATTTTTATATTCCTCCATAAAACGTACAGCTGTAGTTTTTCTCAGTTCTTGGTTAATCATCACATTCATGATTTTCCATAAAACTGGTTTCAAAGATTTAATAATTACTTTTTTTATGCCATAAACTGTACATAATCAATATAGTGCAAACTTCAATGAAAACATAGAACTAGGATGAAGTCTATCATATGATTTCGATACTTTTTGAATGGATCACTTCTAAAGTAGCCATTGTTTTGTCATAGATAATATTATTTGTTCTTTCAAAAGCCTTTGACTGTGCTAGCACCTCATCAGAGAATACACTTCTCGAAGATGCCAGAACTTATTATTGAAATACAATTACAATATACCGATATTTCAATTCGAGTCAATTCCCTAGCGACATGTTTTCACGAACTTAGATCTTTCCATGTTATCAAAGTATTGTGAAGAGCTTTATTTTGCGAGAGTAGAGGGACATTAGCTTTCAAATTTACGATCACCGATTGGACTTAAATTCTCATATTTTATTTATTACATACTAAACCGTATAACCAAATCACATAAAACAGCCCAAAAGAAAAAAAATAACAATTTGTTTAAATGTAATGTTTTCATGTGCGTATTTTAGAAAAACACCATCCAACTAACCAAAGTATGACCTCCGAAGACTTTCAATGGTTAATGACCCGATCTAAACACGATTATTAATATAAACAGACAGACAAACGTGCAATTGTATAATGACGATCTTTCTTGGTCTGTTTGATTTCATGTTATAGATTAAAAGAAAATTTATGCAAATCGTCTTTTCACCTGTGTAAGAATGATTTTTGTAGATCGAATCATTCAACGGTAAGGTTCTTCCTAGATTTGATTTTCTTATTGTTGGCATTATTTTTTTTTTTATAACTGAACACGATTAGCACATGCG